AAAAAAAAAAAGGAGAAAAAAAAAAAGAATGGCTTCAGTCTCAGTCCTGTATTTTTCTGGGGGAGGGGGATTCTGGACATTACTGTGTCAAGAAGTGCTTTATCCAGTGAAGCAAAATTTGCACGATTGGAACCTTATTTGTGTTGTTCGTGTTTTTCATCAACTTTTTATTTTTCCTGGTTTTTGTTTGTGTGTGCTAAAAATGTAAGCTAGATTGATCAATAAGACAAAACAAAACACATATATACCCTGTAGCTCTAAGTAAAGCTAACCAGTGAACAATTCTGTCTGCACTTTCCAGCTGATCTTTATAGACCTATTTAGAGAGAGAGAAAGAGGGAGAAAGAGCAAGAGAGCTACATGATCCTTCAATTACAATCTGGAAACCGGTAAAGGAACTGACATTTCTGAATTGTCCTGACATTTCTAGAAGCAACAGTGGAGGCTTTGAATATCTTCTCTGACCATACCCTAAAATATATCCTTTCTTTGTATTACCATATTTTGAGTGCTTTTATCTGATATTTATTTATTTGTCCACTAATTCTTGAGTACACATTGTGGGAGCACAGAGACATGGCAGAGCAAATTCTTCCTCTTCCAAATTAAATAAAACCATCTCCCAGTTGAGCTGTCCGTGGCAAGTATTGGAGGAGTAGACACAAGCGTCTTTGACAGCCTTGAGGAGAGGGGCCTCAGTGGGAGAGGGGCCTCAGAGGATCAACAAATGTTCCAGAAGTTGGCACAGGTGCCATGCATATATTCACTGCGATTGCTCTTCTCAACACAAATGGCCTCACAGTTCTAGGGGTGGACTGACATCAATAATGAACATTGGGAAAATTATTATCTCAATCAACAAGAGGTAAAATATCAGGCCAATGTCAATTGTATCCTTGTGCCTCGTTCTCAATAAACAGATCTTGTTTCTTCAGTTTTTTAAGTTTGTTTTTTTGGTTTGGTTGGTTTTGGGGTTTTTTTTTAAGAGTAGCGTACTAGACAATATGGTGAGGAAAATCTTGTTTGAGAAGATCCAGGAGGAATGTTTATTTTATAGAATTTTTATCTTCATCTATTTAATTTTAAATGTTTTATTTGCTATTAATCCCCTAAGGGTGGATGTGCATAAGAATTTATTTTTGTCAAATTTACTACTTTGCCACAAGCAAATATAATGGAAAGGCATTTGCAGGAAAGCGTATAGGTGGTAACTACATTGTATTTCAAAATTATGGTGGACATGTCATTTTCATTGTAAATTTATCATTCAAGGGACAAAATTAAAGTCATATATTCTTAAAAAAAAAACTTATCTGTGTTGCTTATATACCTCAGATGACAAAAATATAAGCCAATTTAATATTTAATATTTTTGTGCATTTTCACCATTGATGTGGTTTGTTTGCTTCGCCGTTTCACTTTACCAGTTACTTAATGAATTGGTTTTCAGGTTGTTGTTTTTTTTTAAATGGGTTGCATTTTCTAGTTCCTCTTTGTGCTTTGGCATGACTGCAATGTTTCTAGTTGCAAAATATCACAGGGCTAAGTTTAAGTAAATGGAATAAAACCTGAGTCAGCAGCAACCTTTTTCTATTAAAATACAATAAACACAGTTGTCTTAATGGTAGACATTGTAAAACTACTTTTTGTTTACAACTCAGTCGTGTCACTCAAGGAAACAGGAACTGAGGTGGGTTCAAGCTCCCAAGTTTTTAGTTCCTACTATATTTTTAATTTAAAATAAAAATACTGAGTCAAAATAATTTAAAATAAGAATTACTCAGTCTTCTTTTAAAATTCTACCTCTCATAATCACATCCAGTTTTCCTATTTATTTCAGTTCATTTGGCTTGAATAAGGCAATGACATCTTAGCTCTGGCTCTCTCCTAAGCTAAATGAGGCCAATGACAATGTTTTATGTGTAACTATTCTTGTAAGTTTCTTAGGCCATTGAAGCTGCATAATCTGAGTATCTCACTTCATGTATTCAAACTCAGTAGCCTCGACCATGCTTCTTTTATATATATGTTTACATGATAACCAACCTTTTGAATTTAAATAAGGTATCTCATAAAATTTCATTTTCCCTCTGCTACTCTTGTATCTGTCATGCTAAGCTATAGTGTTAGGATTCTTATATAAACAGCTAAAATAAATGGAAAATGTGGAGTAAATTCTTATTGTACACTAATTGAAATAATGATTTTTTTTTCTTTTATGTTCTTTGCAATATTTATTACTTTTTCCCTTTTAATTTTTCATCTGGGTTTGAAAACATGCAATCTGCTAGCTGCTGGAAATGCTAGAAATTTTGATGTGTTCATAAGGTGTGGATGTCATGATATATTTTATGTTGAAGGGGAAAGATGTACAACCATAGCATTGTAGATTGCAGGAAATATGAAGGGAGAACAATTAAAGGAGCCTCCCAGTACATTAAGAGTAGGCTTATAGAAAATAATTTGTAGAGATTAATTGATTTGGTAACATTCAGAGTTGGTGTAAATTTAACGTTGAGGAGCACCACGAAAGTTAGGAAGTGTAAAACACGTGGTAGTGAAGCTGACCAGTGGCACCATAACAGCTGTGGTTCCTGTGGGAGCAGTAGCACACGACTCCTTCCAGCAACTTTCAAGCTTGCTCATAAGCTGCTGTGTAACCATCGTAACATATTCCTATGAAACTACTGTCTGTTTGACTGCTTCCCTTCCAGGGATCAATCTGTACCTGGCTGTTTTTGGTGCTCACTGTTTTAGTACTGCTTCAGCCTACTTATGGCAGGGTAGAAGCCAGGAGCTGTATTAGGAATGATAAATTCTCGTCATATATATAGTTGCCTTCCTCTGAGTTTTATATCCAGAGTTTGAACACAGTCTTGCCAGAGAGCCTGTGTGCTCTCACCTCCCCCTGAGACAGTGGGTGTGATGGATGTGTGGTGTATCTCATTACTGGTCAGCATCTTGCAAGCTGGATCTGTGGGAGGAGGAGAGAGACAGGACATGAAACTAAGGAGTTGTTTAGAAGTTACATTGTGTTTGTCAGCCATGACTTTTTTAACTTTTAAAAAGAACGTTTTGTTTTTATTGACCAAATTTGTTTCTTGGACAATCTGTCAAAGTAGAAGGTAGGCTAAAAGGGCTTGTTTACTGATGGATTTATTCAGAAATAGCTGAAAGTGGTTTCATGTCCTAATGTGACATTGGTTTCTGGAATAGGCAGAGTCACAGGTAGCATTGTTTAAAAACAGCTCTTATGATAATAGTCTGCTTCAATCCAGGATAACTTTCTAGTTATGCTTTAGTTTAATGAGCACTCAAAAATCATTATCATTAATATACTTCATTTTTGTGTGCAGTGACTTGTCAATTAAGCAGTTATACATAACTAAAGAAATACAATCAATTCCCCTCTTTTAATATATTGTTGAAAGGCCAAGGAATGTCTTTGAGTCATTGCATAGTTTCTAGATTTGGAGCCACTCACTGTTTTGAAAAATTGTTCCAGGATTGTGTATGATGAGGAGTCATGCCCAATTTTTAATCATGGTAGTAAACCATCATACATTGTAAAATACTCATTTTCTTAGCAGAGGAGCTTCTTTTATTTGACATGATTTCACCTGACAGAATGCTTAAAATAGAACTTTATGATTCCTGGCCACCTGTTAATTAAATCATATTTGGAGTTTAGAAATTCCTGAGAATTTTTGACACCCATCACAAGTGTAGCTAGACACAGACTAGGTGCCTGGGCAGATGATAGACAAGCATTTAGATCAGCTGTTAATATAATCAAATATCTGTAAAATTCAAGTGTTCTATGTGAAATAAACACATTGTCATTTCAGCTAAGAGACTGATCTTGCTTGCCTCACTCATCTCAGTTAAAGTCTGTTCCTCTTAAGAATGGACTTTACTTGAGTGCCTCTTAACATTAAATTTACACCAACTCTGAATGTTACCTAATTGATTTATTTACATAAATTACTTTGTATAAGCCAACTCTTAATGTGCTGGGAGGCTCTTTTAATAGTTCTCACGTTATAATCCCTGATGCAATCTACAGTGCTGCTGTTTCCCCTCTAACAAAAAATGTATCAGGATATCTGCACCTTATGAGTATACCAAAATGTTTACCATTTCCAATAACAAGTGAGTGGAGCGTATGAAAATCATCAGTACCACTGAGTTCGAATTGTATGATTTGGTTTTGTTCATGATCTACTAGTATGTTTATTTAAAAAATCAGTGACAGTAATCAGTGCAAACCCTTAGTTAACACAACTATTCTTGGGTGTTGAGGTCTTTCAACACTAATCATACTTCTGATAATATAAGTACAAGTCTACAAATATATTTTGAATGCATGTTTTAAATCGATCCCCAAACTAGTCATGTTTATGGTCTTATCCAACATCATCATGATCTATTTTTTCTTATTTGCTATTATCAATAAAATCTAAAGACCACTAATTGTACTGTATGCTATTCGAGTGTCATAATAAAAATACACTTCACATACCAAGTATATCTAAAATATCCTGTTTCTTAGCTCATATAGCTTAACCTATTTAGTGAATCATCTCTGCTCTTCTTCAGCAAAATAGTTGCCTAACTTGCTGGTTCCCTGCAGATCACATACAACAGATGGTATAAATAATGACACAGCAAAACATGGAGAAGCAAATAATGAGTATAAATTCTGCACAAAAAAAAAAGAAAAAAAAAGCCTGCATCAACAGAAATTCAGGTCTTATTGATAAATGCTCCAAAACTCAGTAAATATCAAAGTTAAGTTTTTAAACTAATCTTTCTGAATGATAGAAGTTCCACTGTCATAATGAAGTGCTGTTTTTCTGTGGGAATATAAAAAATAATTTAAATTGTTTTGTGAGATCAGCTGTATTAAAAGACTCTTGCTCAGCATATTGATATATTCAGTGCTATAAATTCAACCAAAACCTAAGTTC